TTGGTAGCCCAGGCTGGCCTCGAACTCACAAAGATCCGCCTGCCTCTGCCTCCCGAGTGCTGGGATTAAAGGCGTGCGCCACCACGCCCGGCGAAAATAAAACTTTTATATCATATACCTATATCATTCCTGAATGTTCACCTGAAGAAATCAAAGTAAAAATATAATTTAAATGCCTGCACACCCATGCTTATTGCTATATCACTTAGCATAGCTGCTGTGCTAATCTTTCTTAGCACGAAATGGACAAAAAAATCTGTTTACCCTAGATAGGGAACCAACAATAAACCAAGTACATTAATGAGCATATTTTATTCCACCAAAGTCTAACTTTGCCAACCATAAAGTTTTCTGGTATTACTTACAGGCCATGGATGAGGTTATGACCTACAAGAGTGTGAAGGACACCAAAACTGTTGCACTGATGCAAAGTTTCAGCCTGCCATGGATGTTGATAACTGCCTGTTCAGGCAGACTGAGCAGGATAAACTAGATCACAAACTCACTTTCACCCCTGAAGCCTCCGCAATCTGTACCCCAAGGCCCAGCTGCTGGCCTATAGATCTCTCTCTGTCTCTCTGTCTTTGTCTCTCTCTTTCTTCTGCCCCCTATGACACAAAAGGCCCTGTGAAGACCTATGACCCTGGGGTTGAAGAGATGGCTCAGCAATTTAGAGCACTGGTTGTTCTTGCAGAGGACTGGGGTTTGGTTCCAGAATCCATGTGGCAGCTCACAACTGTCTATAACTACAGTCTTCGGAGGATCTGACACACTCTTCCAGTCTCTGAGGGTGTTGTATGTAAGAAAAATAAGGCAGAGAAGCAGACAAACTTAATCTCAACAGGCAGAGACTGCTTCATTGGAATATCAAGGGGCCTTGACCTTTCTGTGGACACACACACACACACACACACACACACACACACACACACACACACACACGCAGAGAGAGAGAGAGAGAGAGAGAGAGAGAGAGAGAGAGAGAGAGAGATACCAGGAAGTTACAGCTATTTTTATAGTGGGGGGTTGGTTGGAAACAGGGTGGATTGTTTTTGATACCAGGTATAATGTTTCTACAGGTGGAGGGAAATGGTCAGGCTGGAGCTAAGCCATTCTTTATGGAGAGAGGCTGCCTAACTCAATTCCTCAGGACCTGAGGCTAACATACCCAACTTAGGGTGGGTGAAAGAAGAAGAGGGAGTGGTTGTAATTTTTGGGAGGGTGATTTTTCCAGCTGGAAGGGGTGATGGTCTCAACAGTGGAAGGAGCATGTTGAAGTCTCCTCCAGGTGGCATTGGGGCTGGTGGTTTTAGGCTATGCAGAAATCAGTAACCGTCTAGGCAGTGACAGCTTGTAGTGTTATTGGAGGAACTTGGTGAGACAGCTGAAAGGGCAGAGGCCAAAGAGAAACATTAGTATAATCATAATGACTGAGACTGCCAAATGGGCAGTCCATGGCATCCTTCCAAGTAGTTCAGGTACCTTTCCAGAAAGTATTGTCCGTTCCTTTTCTGTTTTGAATTTTTTCTAACAGTTGTTTAGTGTTTTCCTATGCTAGGCCAGATCAGTTGGCATAAAAACACCATTCTTCCCCTAGGAAGGCACAGATGTCTCTTAGGGGAAGCATCCTCTTTGATTTTGGACAAGCACTACAGCCAAGAAACATATTTGACTTTGTACGGTAAGTATGCTTTGTTGTACAGGTCAGGATTTTCTTGGCCTGATTGGTCAGTTGGCTATTGGCATATTGCTGTACCTGTTGGCATCCTATAGCTGTTACAGGGTGACAGCCATTGGGGGCTTACATGGAGACTTTATTTGGTTATGGGGGAAAGTTCAGATGATAAAACACTTAAAAGACAGTGTAAACATATGAGCCTGAAGATAATAAGGAGGAAAGGAGTGATCAAGGGAGGAGCCAAAGTGGGAGGAAACTAAAAGTCCATACATAGAAGGAGGTGTGTGGTTGAAGTTTTGTCTGGTTATTATGTCTTTGGGCCCCATCTCAAATTAGTTAGGATTTGTTGGTGTGGAAGGAGCATCATTCTAGGAGAAGGGCACAGATCCCATCCTTGGTAATAGTAAGATCTAGTGGAGTACTTTGGCAGCCAAAAAATCGAGTTGGTCCTAAAGGATGTTAAGAAGCTGACCTGAAATTTCTCTAAGGGTTTTAATAGCTGATAAGGTAGAGGGGTTAATTAATGTGGCAAAGGCTTCAGCCCAGCTGTTTTAGCTCTGAGTCCCTAAAACAATGTCCAGAGTGGCAAAAAGAGTAATGAGTAGGTATTGGGGTCTAGTGTTGGGGTTCAGCCCAACCTATTGAAGGGCCCCTTGAAGTGGGTAGTGAGGAATTGAGAAATACTAGATAGAAATATAGATGAAGAAAAAAGACAGAGACACAGGAGAGCTTCAGGAGGGCCCTGGGTCAATACCAAGCAGCCTCATGTTTATTTTATTTTTTATTTTTATTTTTATTTTTTTTTTTTTGGATTTTTCGAGACAGGGTTTCTCTGTGTAGCTTTGCGCCTTTCCTGGGACTCACTTGGTAGCCCAGGCTGGCCTCGAACTCACAGAGATCCGCCTGCCTCTGCCTCCCGAGTGCTGGGATTAAAGGCGTGTGCCACCTAACATACCCAACTTAGGGTATGTTAGGTCATGTTTATTTTTAATGGGCTTTTTATACACTAGCAAGGGGAGAGGCAAAAGACTTCCCCCTTTCAAGATCAAAGCACAACGTACAACCAAGTGTAGACCTGGAAACTATACCCTTGGCCAAAGCATCCTAGTATGCAGCCCTGAGGGGTAAAGCAAGCTCAGACTTTCTGACCTTGAGTAAGGCCTTACCAGGGAGCCTCTGTGGGCCCCCACAAGTAGGATGGAGTTGCATCCCCCTTTAGAGGTCACCCAGACTGCATTAGGAGGTTAGGAGCTGACAAAGGAGACAATGTAGAAAGAACAGCAGTTAGGGGTCCCCAAAGAGGGTCCATCCAAAGGGCCACAATAAAACTGAAAGAGGGTAATGATCCAGAACAATAGTCAGGAAGTAATAGTTGTACAATCCTGTCGGGAATATTAAATTTGTGTAATAAGGTTAAATACAATTGTACAATTGGATAGAGCAGACCATGTACCAGAGTTTTGTAGAAGGATATGGTAACTGTAATCAGCAGTTTGTTACATTAGGCTCCTGCAAAAAGAACAAGTGCCTGGAAGCTTTGTAAAATAAGCCAGTTAAATTCAGCATCTTATTGAGTCATTTTAATAGGATTGTCTAGCAAACTTCTTAAAGGCACCACTTGGATGGTTTGATTAAATACCTAAAACTCTGAGTTTGAGCACAGATTATCTGGAAGCCTGCTTTAATCACAGAGCACAAGTAGCTAGGGCATGGACTGTGGAGTCAACTTTTGTTAAGAGGAAGAACTGAAAGGGAAAGGGGCTGACCAACTGAACTAGCATGTCAGTCCTGTATCAGTCAGGTGGTAGGCTTAGGTATAAGCTGCCCCTGTTCTTAGCAGCCTCATATGCCAGTTTGGGAGATAGTGAGGGCAGAGTAATTGCTTTTTTTCTCTGTTGTTTAGACATTTAGGGTGTATGTGTTATCTCTAAGATCCTTTACTGGGAAAGAGACATGTGTAGTTGGAAGATTTTGGGGTCCTGCCTGGCCCACGGTTGGGACAACAGTACCCAGTTTTGTTTTGTTTTGTTTTTTTAATAAAATAATCACACAAAGGCTTAATGTTAATTATAACTGCTTGGCCATTTGCTCAGGCTTATTACTGACTGGCTCTTACACTTAAATTAACCAATAATTCTTATCTATGTTTATCCATGTGGCTTGGTACCATTTCTCAGTTCTGCCTTCATATCTTGCTTGCTCTGTGTCTGACTGGCGACTCCTGACTCTCTTCTTCCTCTTCCCAGAATTCTCCTTGTCTGCTTGCTTCACCTATACTTCCTGCCTGGCTACTGGCCAATCAGCATTTTATTAAACCAGTGTACAAGGGTATTACCTCACAGCAGACTTGAGGAGTAATTAATCTTTCCTACAGATAAGAAGTAGTTTTTTGTTTGTTTTCTGGTTTGGCCTATATAACCAGAGCTAGTCAGGCTTACACAGCCAGAGACAGAAGCAGCAGACTTCTGGGTGGGAGGATCTTATTTCCACATGCATCCTTATTCTGTAATGAGGCTAGCATGCAACGTACATGGCACACGGTAGCAAATTAAAATTACCTGTATATGAATTTTTAACAATCAACTTTTTTTGTTGTGGTTTTTAAGTTAATAAGAACCAAGAAGGTGGAAGGGAGTTTGCAGAGAAGCAGACATCCATAATTACATTTATGGGTCATTTTAACTTTTATATATATATATTTTTCTTGATTAAAAAATTAAATACCATGAGACATAACAGTAACAAATAAACTCATCTTTGGTTGTAAGAAATTTTTCTAAAGGTGGTGTTAGGGCCTTTATTCAGTATACATGACAATTTTTTTTATTACTACATAGGTAGACCTTTTCCCCATTTTTAGATTTTAGCCCACATACCCAGAAAACCTTGAGGTCTCATATGACTAGGGCCTAATGTCATACAACCAGCTGTGGGGAGTGAATGGATATTTGGGCAAAGGCCCACAAGTGACATTGTCTATCTCTTCTTCATTTGAAGTTATATTAATGTGTAACGAGCTTAGCTGTACTTATTTTAAGTGATGGACGTTGTTTTGTTTAGAAGATTTTGTGCAGTATCAGCTTAATAAAAGAGGGTTAAATTCAAATGGCATGTATGAGTGATGCAATGAATTAATATTACCTGTGTATATACTGTTAAACCACTAGGCCTTGTAAGTTTTCAGGTAAACCTTATAGAAAATGTAAGACAGGCTTTATGACCTATATAGTATATAGTATGTAGAATTTCTTTTTATTAAAATCTCTATTAAATTCATATTTGCATCACCTGACAGAATTTAGCTGAGGGACCCTTGTTGAAACTATGATGCTGGAGTGATGACTGAGAGATTTTAGACAGATGATCCTTTTTATCCTTTCATCCTAGCATCCTGTTAGTTGGTTTCAGAAGACATCTTTATACATCTTTACACCATAAGATAAACAATAGTAGCCTCTATTGGAAATAGTTTAGCTTTAAGCTGTTTATTTATTTATTTATTCTTCTCTTATACATGACATCCCGGTTGCATTATACCATCTCATGCATTACATCATAGCCACCTTGGTTCTGTCCTTGGGAACCTCAGGCTATCACAGACACATGCTTTCTTGATATCATGGTTTGTTGTTATGTTGTTCTAGAATCCCTGGAGTCTAGCTTCTTACGGACCAAAAGGTTTGGGGGTGACGGTCACTTTATCCCAATTTTTTTTCTTGTTTTAATCGTAAGTAGGTAAAAATTTGCAGTCAGTGTTATTAGACCTACTTTATAACTGCCTTCATTGATCATACCCAGAAAGGATTCTACCATTTATGATGCCCTTCAGAAAAATGTTCTGTTGGGGGCCCAGTGAATTCTGGCTAACAAGAGCTACTTCAGCTTAAAGGGCAGCTGCAAATGACATTCACACCCAACACAGCAAAGTCCTATGTGAGAATGCCTAGGGGTAAATGTCTAATGGAGGACTCTAGGCAAGAAGTTATTAACAGAAAATGGTTCCTGCTTCCAGGATTTGCTTTTCTATGGTCATATCTTATCATGTCTTGAGTCCTAGGTCAAGGTCCAACTGCTATATGTAAATCATAGAAACTGCTTCCACAGCACTAGCTTAGCCTGCCTGTTGGGAGTTATCCTGCCCTGCTGACTTTCAAGAGGCTCACTCAGTGGCAGATCAATGTAACACAGCTGCAGACCTAGCCAATGGGAGAGCCTTGATGGACACCCTCCCTTCTGCACCCTATATATGAACTAGGCCCACAGGCTGGAAGCAAATGCACATCAATGAAAGGAAAAAAGGAGGGGCAAAGTAAAGGCATCATTTTTATGATAGTTTTTGCAATTTCCATATCAATTTAATCCACCATTTCTCACGATCCCTGCAAGCATTTTCTTTACTGGAAGAATCACTTTTCTCTGAAAGTCTTAGGTGAAAATCTGTCATTGAGCCCATAAATGGCTTTCCACTTAGGAACCTATAATTGGATTCAATCTCTTTAGTCTCATTATACCCATTTCCCCAGTCCCCTTCATTCCATCCCCTCAAATGTGAGCAGGCACCGGTGTCTTCCAAGCAGACGCTATTTCTTCACATTTTCCTTCTTCAGCATCACAGCCTAGGAATCGCACAGATGCGGTGACTGACGGGTGACACGGTGACAGACATCCTGAATTGCAGGCTCAGTTTCTCATTGACTGGAGGCTTGAAGGTAAATTTTTGGATAAGAGAAGTGATAAAAATGAACAGCTCAGACCTGGCCAATTGTTCTCCAAGACAAGCTCGCTTTCCTGTAAGACAAAAACAAAGTAATTTATTCAGCTGCCACTGGTATGTCCAGGGTCTGGTTTCACCAACTACCTTTTGCAAAGTTTGAGTGGACTCTGGGGTTGGAGTCCAATTGCTCATTTATGTCTAATCATCTGCCTTGTCTCCCCAAAACACAGAAGGTGAAAGTCCGGGATCACAAATCAAAGTCTCTCAGGGATCAGGCAGTGCTGGGAGAGCATGGCATAGGACAACAGGAGTAGAACCGTGAGATGAGAGGGACTGTGAGACCATCATACGTGCTTTCCAAACTTACTTAACAAATAAAAGTGATAGAACAGATAATGGTGTAACAACAACATCAACAAAAAATCATGAAATGCTTTTCACCCTTTAAAAGGAAAGAGAAAAATGTAAGCAGGTATATGAGCAGTGTTTTTATTGCACAAGTCAGCTTCCACCTAAGCCCACTGTCCCCCTTCACCTTGAGTGACCTCTGCAACAGATGGCCTCCATAACTCTCTATCTGGTGCTACTCATATGCCTCTCTAGGCTATTGTTGCTCCCTTTCCTGAAGGAGGATCTGCTACTACCTCACTGCCCTGAAGTGCACATATAGTCACTATCATCATTTCTCTTGTGTGCATTGGGAGTACCTTCCTTTTCTTTTCTATTTTTTTTTTTGCTTCCATGATTTTTTTTTATTGAAAATAGAACTTTTTCATACATTATATTCTGATTATGGTTTTGACTCCCTCAGCTTCTCCTAGCTCCTCTCCACTTCCCCACCCACCAAATCTGCACCTCTTCTTTCTTTCTCTCATTAGAACAGAAATAGTTATCTAAAACTAGTAATAATAAAAAATAAGATAAAATAAAAACAAGCCAGAATAGGACAAAACTAACACTTAAGTACTGTGTATTTGGAAAATATATAAAAGGAAATATAAATAGGAGAATTGAAACTATTTATAATTCCACAGTCCAGACAGAACCATGGGCACAATGATATGCATGACAGTGTCGTCCTGGGGATTCTGTTGAACCTGGTTACAAACCATTATCTTACTCAACTTGTTTTAATCATAAGTAGGTAAAGATTTCCTGTCAGTGTTACTAGACCTACTATATAATCATTAACCACCCTCACTCTTTAAGTTGCTTTAGCTACTTTGTCTTATTCAGGAAACTAATTAGCATTCCCAAACTGATCATCAGTTCATGGTTCTGCTGTGCCCTCAACCTTCCACAGATGGCTGAAGAAACAAAAGCAGATACTACAGGCAAAACTGTTTAGTAACTGTGTGTTACAACAGTGCTGGTGTCATAGTTTGTGCTTGTGTGTCCCCCTCAATCCTCAATGTGTTTAACTCATCATCTCTGCTGGTGATATTTTATTTGTGCTGAAATGTGGTGATATTTTATTTGTGTTTCAATAAAGCTTGCCTGGAAATCAAGGGGAAAGGCCAGCCATTTGAAGTAAACAAGAAGTCAGGCAGCACACATCCTTAATCCGATCACTTTTCAGGCATGGTCTCTGTGTATTCAAGGTCATACTAGGAAACAGAGCCAAGCATGGTGACACACGCCTTTAATCCCAGTATCAACCAAGGAGACTTGGAGGTCTGTACAGACAGACAGACAAGGAAGTGAGATAGTTGGGCTAAGATAGCCAATGAGAGGCCAGAACAACAAGGCATATATGCATGGGTATACAGGAAGTCAGGTGCACTTGGAAGCTGCAGAGTTGGTGAGGTAAGTTTGGCTGGTGGCTTTCCCTATTTCCTTGATCTCTCTATATTTGGCTCCATGTTTTTTATTTAATAAGACCATTTAGAAATTTGTCTACAAGATTCTTCTAGAATTCTTTCATCAAGACAAAACTTGATCTGTAAAGTCAGAAACCCTTACTCCTGACTCAACCCTTGCTCAATCAAGGACAGTCACTGTGTGATTGTGACTAATCCACCCATTTTCATAGGGATAAATCTTTCTCACTTAACAAACTTATGAGCAGTTTTATTTCTTACACAGGTTCCATGGTTGGGTTGGGGCAGTCATCACAATTAGCCAGCAGGATTTACATGCTTTTAAAAGGGGAAAACAAGAAACACTCAGTTTGAAAGCTTTGGTCTAAATCAAAGAACAGGTACAAGATCAGGGGTCAGAACAAACCTTTCCTCCTTTCAAGGCTCTTTATGTTGGGCACCGGGTGACAGTGATAGACAGCTAAGTGATAGTGGTAGACAGCTGACTACAATTGCCTGGTTCAGACTGTGCTCAGGCCATCTTCACATCACACACACACATACACAATAACAAACAAACAAGCAAGCAAACACCATGAATTGCTTCAGCACTAAAGTGAGAGAAATGACCCAGGCTTCTGTCAAAGTTCTTTCCAAGCCTAGCTCTGTTAGCCAGTAATTTGGTTTATTAAGAAACAAAGGACTCTTGGTAGCAAAAAGCTGCCAGGGCTTTGGTCTATAAATAGGCAGGGCTCTGTTCAAGAATGAATGTGCCATCTGCCCTGGTAATACACAGATAATAACTCTACTTATTTTTGTCAACAGACAAGAAGCCAATGTCTGAATTTCCTTCATGTAGGGAGGCTGTACATAAAAAGTCTATACAGAGAGGAGAGGGGAAAGTAGCTGTGTAGGAGCAAAGTAGAAAATCCTGACAGCTCTTGGCACAATGCTAATCCAATAGACATTTTAGGTTTCTACATTCTACTCAGTGTAACTGGTTTTCATTGTGTCACCAATTGTGAGAGCATCCTCTGGAAATTGAATATGGTTGCCCTTCATTAGAAAGAGATGATGAAAGTGATTCAGTTCTCATTGCTCTCTTCCATGGGTTCCATATTATACGTACTGGTACTTCAGTGCTGTTTCCATCAAAGACAGGAATCATTTTCCTCCTCTTGAGTTGGGGTTGGCCTTGTGGCTTGAATAGGTCACCAGAATGCAGTGGAAGTCATGGTGTGACAATTCCCAGACTGGTGCTCACCAAGACTGTGTGTTTCTGTCCTCCATTTTGGGATATTATCACTACCTTATAAACAGACAGCTGGTTTGCCCAAGGGAAATAGATAACATAGAAATAACACGATTTTTCCAGGTGAGGTCATGGTAGACCTTCATTCAACCAGCTCACCTCTTACACATACAAGCTCACTTATCTCACCTGTGTACTTTGAGTAATACCTGTAACTAATAGTCTGGGCCCGTTTGTTATGCAGCAAGACACTAACTGATACATATGAATTAAGTGAATTTTATAGTAGAAGGGACTGTAACTAGGGAGGTAAGTCACAATCTAGTTGCAAGAGAGAACTAGTCTAGAAGTACATAGCTCAGCCTTAAGCCCAATTGTGCTAGTACATATTCTTAGAATTTTGGGTTTGTTTATAGGAAGAAAGAAGACACCAATACATTTTACTTCCAGTTGTGAATGAATAGGTAGATTGCATGAGATAATGTGTTTGCCAATGAAGTCTGCAACTAAAAGAGTATAAAATAATTCCCAATAACAAGGCACCAGTGAATCACTTTGTGTTGATCTTTTTATCCCAAAGCTAATGAAGATGGGAAAATATTTTTATATCAGGGTAGAAGTGAAGCACCGATAGAAAAGAGACATTTAACCAATGAAGAAAACAATCTATCTCATCTTCTCTTGACCCAGAGGTCTCTTCTCCCTTTCAGTCATGAGTGTCTGATTATCCCTCTCATCACAGTTGCAGCAAACACCAGGTAATGTAAGGAGGGACATAGTTCCAGCATTTTAGAATTTCATGCTAGAATCAAGAAACAAGGAAAGTTTTTTTTTTTGTTTTGTTTTTTAATGGAAATAGCAAGCCAGAAACTGTGTTGTGATACAAAAGTTGAAATCATTTAATTGGGAAGCCTGAGGCACTTCTATACCTATACTACCTGTTCTATGAGTGAGTTATGGCAGGTGAGGTCTTTCATGTTGCTACCATATATATCCACTTACTGGATTATAGTTAGGAAATTAACACTGTAACAACAGAAGATCTCACTAGGAATTGTGCATACAGCAGAATATAACCCAGTTAAGAAGTTGCTGTTTAGAATTATTGACTCGTGTGTGCATTTTGATAAGGAAGGAACATATAAACTTACAGAGACTGTGAGAGCATGAATAGGGCCTGCACAGTTTCAAGCCAGACCAGGTCCCAACATGCCCTAAACAAAAAGCTATCTGCAACTGGCAGCCTCTTGCAAAGGAAAAAATAGTTTGTTTCAATGGAGTCTCATTGGTTATATTAACCACACTTAAGGGTAGGTTCCTTGCCAAGCAGTAACTGGCTAATACAAAATGAGCTTAATGGTATTTTTGTAGACATTTTGTCTCATTTTGCTTTGTTTAGGCATTTTTATTTTTATCTTTCTGGTCTTTGACTTGTATAGGTCATTCGCTTATATATTATGGTTTCTAATTTTTATGGGTTTTGGTATATATGTATATTGTGTTGATTTTTTTTTCAATTCTGTTTGTGTCTGTGAGAGAGAAAGAGTTTTCCCATTTGTTTTCTAAAGAGAGAGAGAAATAAAGAAAGAAAGGGTGTAAAGTGGGTAAGAAGGTAGGGAGGATAGGGGAGTAGTTGGGGGAGAAGACACTGTGATCATAATATATTGTATGAAGAAAGTAATAAACAAAAATAAACATAAAAAAGATGGGGTTACAATGGGCAGGTTCATCTAGAGATGTTACCAACTAGAGCATAGAGTTACAGGGTGGAGAGAAAGGAAAGGCTAGGGAGGAGCTCTATGTCTTGCTCATCCCAACTCACCCATTGAGAATGGCAGAAAACTCTCTCTCTTCTTAAACTGTCCATTCTCCAAAAAGTGCTCTGGGTTGAACTCATCTGGAGTGGCCCACTCTTTGGGGTCTCTGTGCAGTGCAGTTAGGTTGGTCAGGATCATGATTCCCTACAAAAGGCAGCAGAAAGTAAAGTCTTAATAAAAAAAAAAAAAACCCGCATAGACAGGTGATGATTCTCAAGCTCCCATGCCTGGTCTGAGATACTTGACATTCTGAACTTTCCCACTCTCCTCAACTCATTCTCTGTCAGCTGAGATATTCCAGTCATTTGCAGAGGTAAGTAGACCATGCTTTCTTAAAGAACATACCAACTTTATTAAAAGTGATTAGTATAGATCTGAGAAGATGACCTCAAAGTATCCATGGGGACATAATGAGCCCATGGTTTATCACAGTTAGGACCATGGCAGCAGTATGATAGGATGTCTCCTTCATCTACTCTTCTCCGTTATTTTCTGTATATTATCAAAGAGATAATAGCCTATCTCACTACAGTCAAAGACCCAGGGATGTATCAGAAAGTATTCCTGTCAAGGCAGATACATGGCACAATACCCAGAATCACCAAAGTAAGCCTTCCACTCTTTTTGCTCAATCATCAGCAAAGCTGGTCCACTCTTCAAATATCTCAAGTCCATTGCCTCCATTCCAGGTCCCACTGCAACTTTAGTGCAGGCTGCCATCTTTGCTTTCTAGACTCTGTCCCACAGTTTGAAAGCCCAGTGGGCTTTGCATATGACTTAGTTACATTGCCCACGCACTCATTCAAACTTGGAAAGCAGGTTTCTCATACCCTTAAGTTCACCCTGTGTACCATCAGAGTCACTGTTCATTGATGCCCTCTGACTGGACTCCCACCATAGTTGTCTTCCTTTCTGATCTCAACCAGGCGATGCTGTTATGCTGCTTGTTTTAGATGGAGTATTCCTTTGCATTTTGACACAAAGCTAATTCTTAACTCTCCTTCAATCCTCAGCTCTAATACCTCTTCCTCCAGAAGCACTCACCGATTCCTTCAGCTGCTACTCCTCCTCCTATCTTGTCAGCATCACAGAGAACCAGAATGTTTTCCTGCCAATAGTCCTTGGGGTTTATAAGCAGGAACTCCCATGACTCAAGTAATCCTACTCCAGACCCAAACTTTGTGGGTGTTTAATGAACATTCTCTTGATTAATACAGAATAATGTCTATTCCAAGTATAAGGTTCTACATGATCTCATTATATTTCCATATAGAGTCTATGAATTTGGCTGAATATATTTTGTAGAAGCTGAAGCTGTGATTGGCTGGGTAATGTGCTTGTACAGTAGGAGTAAGCAAAGTCAGCATTGGAAACAGGCCTATCTGCTATCAAGGCCATGCTTCCCCACATCTGTTGAACACAGACCTTTAGATTTCTCAGCATCCAGGGAATTGATGTTATAGTCTGTAGAAAGAGTTAGTATGGTTGTCTGAAGATGAATGAATGGACAGAAAAAATGCAAACAGCATTGGGAAAATTCAGGCCTCAACTTCAAGCCATGAGCTGTTCAGTGATAAAGAGAACAGAGAACACAATGATTGCTCTCTGTCTCTTCAGCAAAGGTCCTCTGCCAACATTAGACTAGCAATATGCTGAGGTGTCCCCTAGCAAACAAAGCCAGGTTTGGCCTAAGCACATCTGATCTGAGAATCTTCCCTTCTCAACTCTTCATAATAGATTTAATACACATAGAGGGTTTTGGCAGAAGTATACTCTTCCCATTGAAATGATTTCTTGGGTCAGGAATATATGTCACTTTTAAAGTTTAGAATCCCAAGATGATGTCAAAGATGGACTGGAAGATCTGAGGCTGAGAAAGTGGTTACCTTTGGCAGGTCAAATCCAGCCAACTTGGTGTTAACTGCCCCTTCCCTGGGAACATTAAAAGGGATGATGTTGCCTATTCTCTGCACCTCGTGGATGACAGCATTGGTATAGGGCATGGACTCTCGGTCAGCCAGGCTTGGCTGTCTTCCTTGACCAATCACTTTGTCAATCTCAGCCTGCACTTTTTCTGAAAGAAAACAAGAGATTCTATTAATTTTAAAACTTTAGTGCTTTCTTCTAAAAAAAATAGAAGTTGTAGTCTGAGACCTCACCTCTCACCTGCTTTTATTTCACCTTAGCATTCTAGTTATAAATAAGTAAAAATTTTCTCAACCCTTTAAATACCTGTTTTAGAAAACTGTCAATTCAATAACTTTCTTTGACCTTACAACATAATCATAAATTTCCATGTATTCTGAGCTGAATATCTCAGATCACCACAGGTAAGCTCATAGCAGTATCTAGTGAGACTTCTACAAATAAGCACCATTCACTGAATGGGTTACAAATCACACAAATGTATTCCCCATAGTTCTAGAGCCTGGAACTTCTGAGATCAAGGCACTAGCAGTTTTCTTGCCTCGTAGACAACAACTTTCTGTCTCTTAAATGCCAAACCTTGGCTGTGTCCTCATGCCATAAGGAGAAATGAATCTCTTTGGTAGGCACTAATTCTTTTCACAAGGTCCAATCATCTTCTGTACAATCACACTGATAGAGTTGAATGTGAGGTTGGCAAATAGGACACAAAGGCTCACACTGAAGAACATCTGCAAACTATTTCTTAAGGAGATATGTCAGCATGAGCTATAGTCATCAGTGTGTTGTGGGATAACATTGATGGTGAAGACGCTTACATTCTTTGAACTTCAGTTCTCCCATTTGGTTAGTGAGGATAAGTCTGCCTTATCCTAAGGATATTTTGAGATTTACACGAACTGTTATAATGATAACTGATTCTGCAAGCTGTCTGCCAATATGGGTCCTCTTTTTCAAGAGTAATATAAGTTGAACTAATTTTATCTGATTGGCTAGCTGCACATTTCACTTAAAATGAATTTGGAACTCCAAGCCCTTTACTACTACTCTCTCTATAAAAATTAATTTCACATAAAATTTATATAATATAAATTTTATCACTATTACCATGGTGACTTTTGAGGCAGGGTTCTCCCTGTGTGGCCAGGATCACCTTAAAATTTCAACACAACTGTCTCAGATCTGTCAAGTATTGAGATTGAGGGTGTGGGCTAGCAATCATAGCTCCTTTTTCCATTTTTGCATAAATAATTCAATAACCTTTTATATGTTTGTACTGTTGTACATGTTACTGTTGGAAATTCACTGTACAAAAAAGTCAATGTCCATGTTACAAATACTGATTTCCCCCTCTCTGCATTCTCCCTTCTGTGTGGACAATTTGGCTATTATTTCGTTAGATATTACAGGATTTATAATTTTGTGATCATCTTCTTTAATTTAGCACAGTGTCCTGAATTTGTGCAGCATCAGAATTCCTTTTCTGGAGCTGGAAAAACGGCTCAGTGGTTAAGATCACTTGTTGCTCCCGCAGACCTCAGCTTGGTTCCTAGCACACACGTGGTGGCTCACAACCTTTTATAACTCCAGTTCCAGGGGATCTGAAGCTTTCTTCTGACCTTTGTAGATATCAGACAAGCACGTAGCACATCTACATACAGGTAAAGCACACACATACAGGCAAAAAACTCATACACATAAAATTAAATAAATCTTTAAAAAATTAAAACCAATTTCTTACCTCTGACTAAATTTTCTGTAGATCTCAGGTATATTCCACACTTTGTTTATTCATGTCCTATGGATACTCTGGTTTTTACCATCCCTTGACTACTGTGCATGTTGTGAAATGAACATGGTTGTAATTGTATTATTTAAATCTCCTGATATTTTGGGGTCCCATTTTCAGGAGTCAAATGTGTATCCTAAGTGAGATGATTCTAAAAAAAATTTTTTAAAAATGTAGTCTTGGGACAGCAAGGTGGCTGACAGAAGTGCGTGCTGAGCTGAGCTAAAACTGTAGGCTCGATACGGTGAGGGAGACAACTGAGTCCTGAATGTTGTCCTATGACCTCCACACTTGTACCATGGCACTCTCCTGCACCTCCTAAAATGTAACAAAACATTTAAATATAATCTTCATGAAGAAATGCATTTTAAATGGTGACTCAAGAAGCATACATGTAAAGATAGATACATTATTAAATAAATATTTCAGATTAATAAAGAAAGAAAGTTTACCCAAGGGTAGATAGCTCAGTTGATAAAAATCTTGCTTGCAAGCATGAGGACCTAAGTTTGGTCCTTAGACTCCATGTAAAAAAGTCAGGTGTGATGGCAAAGGCTTGTAGTTGCCGTGTGCTGGAGATGCAGAGACAAGGGCACCCCTGGAGCTCAGTGGCTACTTGTAGAATTCCAGGCCAATGGGAGAACTTATCTCAGAAAAGAAAAAGTGAACTGTGCTTGAGGAAGGAAGGCTGAAGTTGCTCTGTGGCCTAAATATGCGTGTACACATATACACATACATATATTCACACACGGTCACTCATACAAAGATGAAATAAAGGTTATGAACAAATCTGACTTCACCACATTGGTAGAACTCTCTCCAGTTTTCATCCTAGGGCAAAAAATGTACTAAATTGACTTTATAACCCATGAATAAACTGTTAGCCATACTTTGAAAAAAAAAATTGCAGGATATGGAAAATGGTCCCAACTACTACCTACTAAACTCTTCTAGGATGTGCAGGAAGAGAAATTATGAGACAGACAATTCTTTGTTATGGCCAACAGGCAGTGGGGAGAAATGAAAACAATGTACAAAGCTCAGTCATTGACAGAGGAGCATTGTTCATCTTTGGAGGAAAAAAAATGACAGCAATTCCCTAGTCAGTAAATTCTTAGAGAAATTTTAAACACTTTAGAGATGTGATACCTTAGAAGATTCTTCTAGATGTAGAAGAAATTGGAACAGTACTTTCTTGGTAGAGGGAAGAATTGATGTCATGACTTAGAGACAAGAATAAAGACAGTGAGAGGCAGGCGGATCTCTGGGAGTTCGAGGCCAGCGTGGTCTACAGAGCGAGATCCAGGACAAGCACCAAAACTATACAGAGAAACCCTGTCTCGAAAAACCAAAAAAAAAAAAAA